CACCCAGCCTTCCCTTTGCTGCTCATGCCATTACCCTCAAGTGTACTTATATCTTCCCCCCCCCATATGTAGCCCAGACTGGCTAAGAACTCATAATCCTCCTGCCTCAGCCTCCCAAGTACTGAACTGCTAGGATTACAAGTGTCCCTATAACACACATTCAGCCTTCATTCCTACCTCTTTCATCTACCAAAATGTCTAGATTCCCTACCAAGGTAGTCAAGTCCACTGCACCTGCAATCTCCCAAAATCTCCCTCCACACTCAATCCCTCATCATCCCTCCATGAAGCCACAAAGGAGCCAATCACTCAGAAACCATCATTCTTCCCTCTCTTGTCTAATTAAGCTCTGCTTTTATCTCTAACGATCTAGTCCTCCATCTGCCTCCTCCACAAGATGCAAAGGGCAGAATTTGTTAATAAACGGATGAATAACCAAAGTCTATTGAATGCCTATAATTTTATGTTGCCTCAGCACCCACTTGGAATATAGATTTAATTTTCTCATGCCAGAAGCAGGGCTTGGTCACCCCAGAGATTCCAGTTCTCACCTCCTCCTAGTTCATAGTATAGCTGACCCTGATAGCTGTCTCACACAAACACCTTGTGGTTGTGTGGAACTGCCTGTGCAACAACAGTCTACATGACTAGCCCCACTGACCCCCATGCCTGGCATAAGCGACCATCCCCAGGTTACAGCATGATCTCCTCGCTCTAAAACCACCAATTAGAACTCCCGAAGGGAAACCTGCTGGCCTAAGTCCTATGAGGCTTTGACCCACAGATATCTGCTTGCTTTCTCTCTCACTCTCACTCTCTCTCTTTCACTCACACACACACACACACACACACACACACACACACACACCCCACCTGCTACTGGATGAGCTTCATGATGTCTTTAGACCTCCCAAGTCCCTCCCCCTTCCTGGCACCCCTCCTCTCTTCTTTCATGAATCCGAATGTAGTAAAAGGTTTCTGTCACTTCTTATATTTGGCTGAGCTGCCTCCTCCGTGTCACACTGACCAACACTCCCAAACTAAACTACTTTCCTGGTCAGAGAGTTCCTAGAGAATAGGCATCTTGGAAGAAATACAGGGAACACAGGTCAGACAACAGTGTCTCACATGGGATATTTGGGTATCAGGCCTCTGCCAGGATAAGGAAGTAATTCATGAAAGGCACATCCATCACCAACTCTCTTGGACAGCCATCAGGTCAAGAGGAGAGTTTATGGCCACCACTACAGAGAATTTCAGTATGAAATGTCCCTCCACAGGTTCATGTGTTTAACATCTGGACCTTAGCTGCTGGAGCTATTTGGGCAGGCTCTAGAAATATAAGAAGGTGGGGCCTAATTAGAAAAAGTAAGTCACTGGAGACTTTGAAGTTTATACTGGTCCCTGATCATTTCCTCACTCTCTGCTTCCTGTCCACCAAGAGGTAAGTAGCCTTTGTCACGTGAACATTTTTGTTTATATTAAACATCATAGCAATGAGAAAAAGAACAGAAAGCCCATGAGACCAAATTAGAAATAAACAGTAAGTCAGCTAATGAAGTGAATCTTCCCCCTAGTTGATTTTTTTTTTTAAGACAGGGTCTAACTATGTAACCCTGAACTCAGAGAGACCTGCCTGCCTCTGCCTCTCAAGTCCTGGGATTAAAGGTGTGGCCCACCACACCCAGCTTCTCCCAGTAGATTCTTAACAAGGAAACTTAGGTCTAACTACGCACTCCTGGGCTCTACATGCTCTAAGGTTCTCAACTCACTTATGAAAAACCAAGACCTTAGAGGATATGCCTTCAGCTTTCCCAGAGGGTCCCAGGCCCTTCTGCCCTGCCCTCTGCTCACTCTATTGCAACTTGGGAGTTTCCCAACATGCCAGGCACTGCACCCCAGAGCTTCTGCACTTGCTGTTCCCAGCTTCCTTCAGGCTGTAACATGCCAGACTTTAGCCTGGTATACAGTAGGTGCTCCAAAAGCTTTACTAACCAAATTAGTCAATGAATGGATCAGCTATACCCCAAGAGGCCTATGCAGAGCCAGTAACAACACAGGTCTCCAGATGAATATGCCCTGACCTCCAACTCCATAGCTATTCTCTATCACTCCCAGCAACACCCCCAGCCCTTGCTCTTCTTCACCCCACACTCTCATTGTAACATTCTCCACAGCAGCCCCTAATACACTGAGGTCTCCCCATCCTTGACTACCTGTGGGAAGGAGCAGCAAGGCACCCCATTTTCAAGCAAATGTCCTCAATGATAAAAGTGGTGGAAATTGAAATACATAAAATAGATGATATAAGAACCAAACTGTGTCTAAATAGATTGAAGTTGCAGTTTTCCATAAGGCGTCAGTGAGTCTTTAACATGCAAATGAGCTGTTTCCCTGAGGGTATTTTCAAAGGCCTGTCAGGTGTGAAATATGTCTGTTGATGAAAAACACCTTTCCTTATTAAACCCTCTGCTAATGAATCACCTGCCTGTTCTGTTTACTTGCCTTGACTTTCACCTGAGTTACCTCTCAGACGACCACATACCTTGTAGGAAGTCTGAGGCCACCAAAAGCCTAAAACCTAATCACTAGATAACATTATGAGCAATAACTAAACTTTACAGAGTCCTCTACACTCATCTCATTAATATTCCACACAGCCCAGTGAGATGCAACAAGTATCATCCTCCCAGGTACAAAGCATAGAGAGGGTGTGTGATGAGCCCCAGATGGTTCAGCTGCTTAAGCAGCAGAGACACAACATGCACAGGACCCTCCCACTATAAATGTGCAGCCTTACACTTGTGTGTGTGTGTGTGTGTGTGTGTGTGTAGGTGACCAAGGACATTACAAGGGGTGTCGGATCCCTTAGAGCTGAAATTACAGACACTTGTTCTGAGAACCAAATTTGAAACCTCTGTAAAAGCAGCAAGTACTGAGCTTTATCTCCAGCCATCGCCCCCCTTCTCCTTTTTTTTTTTTTTTTTTAAATAGCACATGATCTCTTTGATAGGGACACTTGGACTTCAGAACACTAAAGTCCTTACGACTGGCCTGGAGTAAATACAGCTGTTGCGACAGGGACTATCATTTCTGACCTGCCACCATGCCCCCAAAAGAGCCAAGCCTGTGGAAGGAAGGGTTTGGAGCTCTGGAAATCAATAGCATGTCAAAGATCAAGCAATGTTCCTCACTAATAACAACCAATTCAAGGCTGCAGACTTGGCACAGCTGTTTAATTGTCAAATCAATAGGAACAATGAACTCTGACTCCCTGAACCAGAGCACATCATAAAACCATGCAACAGGAAGTTGAACAAGTAGAAGCACTCACTGTTCATGGGGGTCAATAAATAGGCCTTTCCAACTACCACTACCTACTGACCACTTCCCATGTCACATTCTGGAAATATAGGCCTGGAGTTACCTCCTCCCTGCTCAGTGAACAAGACAGTGACCACTGAAGAAAGACACTTAGGGAGCTAATTCCATTCAGCCCCGAAAGTGACCATAGCTACCTCCCATTTCCTACAGAGACTATTAGGTGGATAAGCACTTTTTCTTTTTTTCCTAGACTGTTCCTCAAACTAGAAAAGACCTAAAAATACTGTTGGAAAGTACAAATAAGGTGAGTCAATACCCAGGGACTATATAGTTGGCTGAGAAGGCTCACAATCTTTCCTGTCCTACAGATAAAGTTCAATGCAAGAGTGAATTTTAACTATATTTCTTTCCTTAGTGCTTAATAGCCAGAAGTTATTTGGATCAATACTAATTAAACAAAGAAATCCCTGACCACTGCCAAGGATCCGCAGCAGATAAGGAAAATAAATCTCACCTAGACAGAGTAGAGAAATCCTCCATTCAGTTCATCTTAGAAAGGAGGACTCAGAGCAGTATCAGGCCAAGTGCAAAGGACAAGCAGCAGCAGATAAGTGACAGGAGTGAGCATCCAACAAGTGCTTAAATAAATATCTCAGGAAGCCCACACAACCAGATTCTGAGGAATTTGCCCAAGGAGTTAAGAGGCAATGGTGCAAGAGCTTGAATCCAGGTGTGTCTGCTCCAATCAACAGAGCAATGGGTGGACAAGGACAGACAGCTTCCTGGGTGCTAAAGCAGCCTGTGGCTCTGCCCTGAACATCATCGAAACCTTAGCGATTCAGTGTGCTGGCCTACTGGATGCCTAAACAAAGAACTCTTCTTCATAGGTCCCTTGTCTGACAATAAAAGGGATGGGGGAGGTATATTTGGAAAAGAATAAAATGCAAATTCTCTTCACAGAAATCAAATCTCACACCATGAAGACTGTTGAACACTGGCCAAGCAACTAATGCAATAAGACAAATTATGAGATAAAATAGGAAAAATGACACAAGTGAAGGACATGAAAATCTACATGTAATGTAGGAGAAACTGACAGTGCGCAAAGCAACATCCACTCAAGCTACAGTTAAATAGCAAAACGAGACAACAAGAACAAAAACATAACCATAACCAAGTGTGAAGTTTCTGGATTTTTTTTTTTTCCCTATAAAATAGTGGCATTCAAATGATGGCTCCCAGACTAGCAGCATCCCAACATACGGATTCCAGACTTCAAACACATACCAGAATCAGAAAATGAGGGGGGGTGGAGAATAAGCAGAATTCTGTATGGTAACAAGCCCTTTGCATACTTCCACTGTACACTGGAGTTTGAAAACTACCACAGCAAGAAAATGCTTAAAGAACAATTGTGACAGCACAAAATCTAATTCCTATCAAACTCTTGAACACCCAGTAAAGTGCCCAGCTTCCTACTGAGTGGGCAGTAAATGCCACTGCAGTCTGGGAGAGTGTACTACTGGCTTCTCTCCACACACCAGCAGGAAGCACAGGGCATCTGCTAGGTGCTGGGGTAAGTAGTGGGCTGGAGCCAGCTGCAAACCTAAAAGGAGGGCCTGGATATCTGGGCTGCCCCCAGCTTTTCACCACGCCACACTGCCTACCCCAGATACCTCCTCCAGGGAGCCCACAAGGCCACCAGGATGTGAAGACTTCTGGCAGAGCCAGCAGCGGTCCCCCTCCAGCTCCGCCTACTCGGGTGCACGGAAGGTTGGGACACTCAAGGGCAGTCCACACTAATGCCGGCTCCGGGACCAAACCAGAGTCACAACGGAGGGGGCAGGGCACTGCGAGTCCCCTGAGCCACGTGGCCCCGCTAGCACCGGTGACAAGGTCACACATGGAACAGTGAAGCCTGAACCCAGCCAGCGCGGAGCGCAACTGCACCGCCTCCTCCGCGCTCCACGTGCCGTGCGATCTGGCAGCAGGTCCGCCCCGGCTCTGTTCCGGACTCGGGAGCCGCAGCTACTCACCCCGAGGGACGCACCACCGCCCTACCGGCTTCCCCACCGCAGCCCCGAAGCCCGGACTTCGCAGGAAACCGTGCCTTCGCCACCCCGGCGCTCAATTAGCCGGCACCGCGCGGCCTGCTGGGAATTGTAGTTCTTGGTTCCTTAGGCTGGGAACCTGCTGGGCAGCCTCCATCCAGGAGATGCAGTGGACTCGTACTTTCTGCATCATTTCTTTGCCTGGGATACGTGCTCGGAGTCAGGTCAAGGATTCGTGTTTAGTGGAGCATACAAGGATAGGCCTGTAGATTTTAAATAGAACTGTTGCCGAATGGTAAGAATGCGCAGATTGATCTAAGTTATCTGAGATCCTGGTTGACCTCTATTGACCGAATGAATATTGACTTATAAGATGTACTTGGGAGACATTTATGCCACATTCATTCTATAAACATCTGAGACTTTTTCCTTCTTGTGGGGCGGGGACAGAGATGGGGTGGAGGGTTGATCTGTCAATTCAATGTAATTCTAGCTATATTTCCAACAGAATTTTTTTAACAAAATTTTGTTTGGGGGCTGGAGAGATGGCTCAGTGGTTAAGAACAATAGTTGTTCTTGCAGAAGACCCCGGTTCGAATCCCAGCACCCACATGGGAGCTAACAACTGTTTGTAACTCCAGTCCCAAGGGATCCGACAGCCTCTTCTGACCACTGCACGACACAGATGCACTTACCTACATGCAAACAATACATGCATACACATAAAATAAAAATAATGAATAATTTTTTTAAATTTTGTTTGTTTTTGAGACAGGGTCTTCCTGTAGCCCCAACTGGCCTGGAACTAGCTATGTAGACCAGGCTGGTCACCATCTCACAGAGATCCACCTACCTTTGCCTTCCAAGTGTTGCTCTCAAAGTGCCACCACACCCAACCCTCCAATTGGATTTTTCTCTGAACCTTCACAGATTAGTCTACAATTTATATGGAAAAACACAAGATAAAGCATAGTCTAAACACTGTTGAAGGTGAATATCATTGTTCAGAGACTTGCCCTTCCATATTCTACATGTACCACTAGGCTGTAAAAATTAAGACCATGTGATAGTGGCACAAGGATAGACAGAGGCAGGGTTAATGAAACTGCCTAAAGAGCCTAGAAGCCTCCAGACATCTGGAGGCATTACAGATCAATGAGGAAAAAGGACTGGATACTAGTTATCTGCTGGATACCTTAACTAGCCCCACATGCAAAAGGTAAAGATTCTGAAGAAAAAACTAAGGTCTTTTAAAATTAGAACTTTTAAAAGGAAAACATACTTCTGACCTCAAGATAGGGCTTAAGTGCCTTAAGCAGAAATTGTAAAAGAATGATAAATTTGAACTATAGTAAATTTAAGAATTTGTTTTCATTGACAACATCCTAAAAGAAAAGCCAAGCCACAGACTGGGAGAAGGTGACTGCAGCACAGAGGTAGCAGTTATACAGAGATGACCCCACCATTGAAGTTTGTGATTCATACACTTTGATGAAAGAGTCTAATTCCAGAGGCTGCAAGATGCCTTAGAGGTGTGAATGGGGTGGTATAGGAGCACAGAGAAGGAAGTCCTGCTGGGCGTGGTGATGCACACCTTTAATCCCAGCACTCAGGAGGCAGAGCCAGGCAGATCTCTGTCATATCAAGATCAGCCTGGTCTACCTAGCATGTTCCAGGCCAGCTGGAGCTACAGGTAAACCCTGTCTCAAAAAAACAAAACAAAAAGAAAGAAAAAGGAAGCATTAATTTTGCTCAAGAAAGTTTAAAATACTATGAAAACTAAAAATCAACTTATGGGCTGGGAATTAAGGAATGAATAGGGGCTCCCCAGAAGAAAAGTGTTTGGGAACAGCCCAGGAAGAGGAAAAGTCATCCAGAAAACATTAAAATGGAGCAGAACAGGACCCGAGAGATGGCCCAGTCCCAGTGGGTAAAGGTGCTTGCCATTAAAGCCAGGTGACATAAGTGTGATCCCCAGAACCTACATACAGGTAGAAGGAGGGAACCAACTCTCCACAAAGTTGTCCTCTGACCTCCACATGTACACTGTGCAATCAGTGCACACACACACACACACACACACATAGTAATCAGAATTATTATTACCAAATTTAATTTTTTAAAGATGAAGCACAGCACAGCAGCATAAAAAGATATCTAAATTAAATTTTTAGGAGCTGGAGATGGATCAGTGGTATAGTACATGCTTAGCATGGGCAAGGCCCTGAGTTCAAGCTCCAGAATCACAAAAAAATATAAATAAATCTTGAACAACAGGTAAGAGCAAGTATGGCTGCTATAATTAAAGAGCAAATTTAACTATGAAATTGTTAGTACTGCCAGCCAGTGGTTAACCCTGAGGAATGGAAACGTGTAAAGTACTTTCAGTTTATATAATGAACGTATAAAGTAAACTTTCATATTAAAAATCAACTAAACTGATGCTTTTAAGTTCACAGACTTACAATTAAACATGATAGATTGAATACACCTACTTAAATTTACTCCTTTCTGGGGGCTGGAGAGATGGCTCAGCAGTTAAGAACACTGGTTGTTCATGCAGAAGACCCAGGTTCAAGTCCCAGCAACTGTCCGTAACTCCAGTCCCAGGGGATCCAATAGCCTCTTCTGACCTCCGCGGGCATTGCACGACATGGGTGCACTGACCTACATACAGGCAATACATGCATACACATAAAATAAAAATAATAAATAAGCCCAAGCATGGTGGCACACGCCTTTAATCCCAGCACTCGGGAGGCAGAGGCAGGTGGATCTCTGTGAGTTCAAGGCCAGCCTGGTCTACATAGTAAGTTCCAGGACAGCTGGGGCTACAGGGAGACCCTGTCTCAAAAATACCAATAATAATAATAATAATAATAATAATAATAATAATAATAAATAAAATTGTTAAATTTAGTCCTTTCTGAAATCCCAGGAAAATAATTTGAATAATGAAAATGTCCCCCATAGGCTCCATGTATTTGAACATTTTGTCCCCAGTTGATGGTGCTGTTTTGGGAGGCTTTAGGAGGTGTGGCCATGCTGGGGGAAGCATGTCCCAGGGAGTGACTTTGAGAGTTCTTTAGCCTTGCCAGATTTCCAGTAGCTCTCTGCTTCTTGTACCAGCCACCTGTGCCACCATGACTCCCCGCCATGATGGACTCCTGCCCCTTTGGAACCATAAGCTAAATAAACTCTTCTTTCTATAAGTTGCCTTGGTCACAGTGTCTTATTACAGCAACAGAAAAGTAACTAAGACAGTCTAGTTTAGAGTCTGGGCTTCAATACCCCTTCAAAGCCCTCTGGGTGATTTCAGTGGGCAGCACAATGGAAAGGCTCTGGCAAGGAGGTGGTGTGCTATGGTGAGAAACAGATGCCCTGACAGTAACTCATAGCCATGTTGGAATCTCCTACAGAGCCCTACACATCCTCCTGCCACTCCTGGACCTGTTAAATCCAATTTCAAGCAGCAGGACCCAAACATGGTAGTTTGTGGAACTTCCCAAGGGATTTTAGTATATAGCCAAAGGTTCAAAACACTAGTTTAGAGCCCAAGAATTATGTTTGAACCGTGAGCCTTATAGCAGGTTTTCAAGTTTAGCGGTTTTAATTTCTTTCTTGGTAAGCATTCAATTTTCTTGGCCCATACCTACCTCAAAAGTTCTTGTGAGGATCGAGTGAGTGCTTTGGGAACTGAATATTGCTCTTTAGAGGCATCCCATCACACTGAATAGAAAGTCCCAAACCAATGCTTCTCTCCCCTGGCTCACCACACTGCAACTACACCAACTTTGTTTCTATTTCTCAGCCTGCCAAGCTGGCTGCTGCCTTGAAGCCCCTACATTTGCTCTTCCTCATATCTTATAGGTCTCCTCTATTCTGGAAGATTTATTCTCTGTACTAATGTCACTTCCATAGGGTGGCCATTCCATTGTTCCCTATCTGCCGTGCACCACCACATTCTTTGAGACGTACTCTGTCTCACAGTGCTTTATTATAGCAGTTTTCTTTTTGAGACAGGGTCTCACTATGTAGCTGGCTGGCTTGAAACTAATGATATAAACCAGGCTGGCCTTGAACTCTCTGAGCTCCACCTGCCTTTGCCTCCTGTGTGCTGGAATTAAAGGCTTATGCCACCATGCCTGGCCCATTATAGCACTTAGTACTTGAAATCACATCATTCATTTCTTTAAATGGTTTCGTCGGTCTGATTCTAGAATATAAGGTCCAGGACAGCAGGGATTTGGATCCATGGTTCCTGACACACAATCCATACTCGAGTCTAAGGATAGACTGATGACAAGGCAAGGTCCCTGCCCTTGTGGAGAGCATCATTTAGCTAAGATGTGGGAGGAAAACAGATGATAAGCAAGCAAGGAAATAGCAGGATTGTCCATTTGCTATAAATAAACCCTGAAAAGAGCAGAGCAGGAGTGTGGCTGAGCAGGGGTGACAGATCACCTCTTTGGATAGCATTGTCTGGTAAGGTCTCTGTAAGGAAGTCACAACCTAACAGATGAGGAAATCAATCATGGCAGGGGTAGGTGGGGGGGGGGTTTCCAAACATCAGTAAGAGCAAGTGCAAAGGCCCAGGGGTAGAGGAGAGCTGGGCATGTTTGAGGAACAAGAAGAAACCCAGTGTGACTAAAGCAATGAGATCGAGTACGAGGAGGTAGGAGCGACAGGCAGGGCTATGCCACACAGAGCTTGAAGGGTTTAGATTTTAAAAGCCAGGATGCTATGGGAAGCCATTGAAGAGTTTTAAACCAGGACGGGGTCTGACCAGAGATGCTCAATAGAAAAAAATGCAGTTTAACAACCAAGGCCAGAAAGGGAGCATTTCAGAATCTACCCAAGACCCAGGGTTAGTGATTATTTAGAATCTCATGCAAGATTCTGAGTTTTTGTCCCAG